CCTAGACCCTTCTTCAGAAAGAAGGGTCTAGGCCCAAAACGTCAGCTTTCCTGCTCCTATGATGCTGCTTGGCCTGCTGTGTTCATCCAGCTCTACACCTTGTTATCTGAAAAATTTTGAGCGTTTGATTCAGCAATTGTTGCAAGCAATCTGAAGGCATAATCAAGTTTGAGAACAGATCTACTTATTAATCAGCTCAGCAGCCTTATGACCTACAACATTTAAACCACTTTGTTTTATGTGTAGAATTGCAGAGATAACGGTGTGCAGAATTTGTATTTTGTTTTGGTTTGTTATTCATCTTAATTGTTCATGTAAATCAATGCTGCAATTCATTTGAGTGCATTGTATTTAGCACAACTTGAATGTACAAATAACTTGTATAATGTGGCGTTGAAGAACAAGTTAAGGTATTTACTATGAAGTATTCAACAATGGAAACAATATACTGATATGCCCAAGATAAGAAAATGCTAGAAATGGTCACCAATCAGGCAGCATCTATGAAGAGAGAAGCAGCGCAGAATCTGGTTATATCTGATTATCTGTCATGGTAAACATTAATCTTTCTCTTGTAGAGTATCTTTTTATGAAATATGTGGAGAATTTTAAATAAAAGAAATCTGCTAGCTTTTGAGTGAGGTAAAAGAAGTGTTTGAAAAGACAATAGACTTAGTCTTTACAACACAGAAAAAGGCTCTTGGACCCAACGCGCCTGTGCTGATCATCAAATCTCTATCTGTTCTAATCTTATTTTTCAGCATTTGGCCATGTTACATTGTATGCTATGCCATTTCAAATGCTCATTTAAGTCCTTCTCAAATGTCTTTAGGGTTCCTGCCTTTACCACCTCTTTCTAGGCTTTGAGTCCCAAATACACACCATCTGGGTGAAAATGTTTTTCCTTAAATCTCCTCTAAACCACCTCCTTAACTTCGAATTGTCTCCTCTGGTTATTGACCCACCAACCAAGGGGAAAAAGGTTTCTTCCTGTCTGTGTCCCTCATAATTTTGTACACTTCAAACAGTTGCTTTCTGCTTTGAGGAAATCTCCCTCTGTAGTTGAATTGCTGGAGCCCCTGGTAAATGTCCTCTTCACTCTCCCTAGTACAGTCGTGTCCTTACTATAGTGTGAATACCAGAACTGCACACAGTGTCCAGTCGTGGCTTAACTAATATTTAAAAAAACGGCTCCATCATTATCCAACTTGCTCTTGTATTCAGTCCCTTGACTAATAAAGTCCAGTATCCCATATATTTTCTTAGCCACCTTTTTACTACCTGACCTGCTGTCTTCAAGACTGTATGGACGTGCCCTTTAGTGTCAATCCTCTAATCTTCATTGAGTCCTACCATTTGACGTGTACTCTGTTGCCTTGTATTTCCTCCTAAGATGTACTTTTCTCACTTTCCAGGATTAAATATCATCTGCACTGTTCAGCCCAGCTGTCTATATTGTCCTGTAGTCTAAGGCTTTTGTCCTTGCTATTTACCATGCCAATTTTTGTCAAAGTGAATGTACTGATCATACCTCCAACATTCATTTCTGGATCATTAACGTACACAACTGAACCCATGGGTAAGGGAAAATTCATCTATCAATCCTAAGCTATATTTCAATAGTTGTGCTACTAAGATTTGCTATACAGGGTTTGAAAGGGTGTATGAAGTTGATCAGAAGTTGCAAAATCAAACTATTGAAAGATAGATGTGTTAGCATGAACAGGGATTGACACTCTAGCTTTGTCGTTGTATTTTCAGTACACCAATGATTGGAACTGTTGACCAAAGAAACATTAAGTTTATTGCTAGACTTTGGGAGGGATTGAAAACTGTGTAGTTGGAAGTGGAATAAACAGATTGTGATAAACTGTGAAGTTGAGCTGACCAGTGGCAAATGCCGTTTAATATGACCTTTTGTGAAACAGTGAAATGTTGGCTAAGTCTTGTGGTCAGCAGCGTAGCAATGGCACTTGTCAACCTTGAAGAAAGCAACCTACAGACGTCTAGCAATCTCTGGCATAGACCTCTCTATCCTGATGGCAGGTAAAATGTGATGCCAAGTCAAGGGGAATCTTTGGCATGCATCGACAGAAGTGGCTCTATGCTGACAATCACATTGGTATAAACACAAAAAAAAGTTAAAAGCACCTGCTATCCATCGTTTTTATTTTAAATTTTCAGCTTGCTTTCATATTAATCCAGTCCATTATTTTGCTATCATAAAAATATAGAATAATTTTCACACAAGCTTAGAATAGTAAGATCTATCCCCACTCAGTCGTTTAGTATTTGGCAACATGAATTGTGTAGTTAATATGGTGAGAGAAGTGACATTTCACTAGTGTGAATTTAGTTTTTCAAGTCTAATGAAGGTATAAAAAAGCAATTGTGAAATTGATTCATCAATTAAAATCCAGTTGGATCTCCTACAATAAGTAACATTTGAACTTTTGTAATGAGACTTAACCTCATAAGCGCAGAACTTTTCAATTCTTCTAAGTTCCAGCATAACAACTGAGTTAGGAGTAGGAGTAGACCATTGAGCCCCTTGAGCCTACTCTGTCGCTTAAGATCATGGATGATATGATTGGAACCTCAATTCCACATTCCCACTTAACCTTTCAGCTGTTGCTTACCAAGAATTTATACATTTCTGCCTTAAATATTCAAGGACTTTGCCTCCACCGCCTTTTGGGGAAGTGAGTACCAAAGACTTAGGACCATCTGAAAATTTTTCCCCTGTCTTAAATGAATGCCCCCTTATTTTTCCATATTGATCCTGAGATCTAGATTCTGTCACAAGAGCAAATCTCCTTTCCACATCCATGCCTTCATATTTTGTGTTTTCAATTAGTTTGCTTCTTATTCATATAAATTCCAGCAGATATAACCTTAGCCTGTCCAATCTTTCCTCATAAGACAGCTCGTATGTTCCAGGGTCTAGTAAACTGTGAACTGCTTTCAACGTATTTGCATCTTTCCTTAAATAAGGAGACCAATACTATACACAGTACTCAATGTCATCTCACCAATGCCCTGTATAACTGAAGCATAACCTCCATCTTTGTGTTCAATTCCCCTTACAAGAAAAAACAATCTTCTATTAGCTTTCTTAATTACTTGCTGTACCTGCATACAAACCTTTTGCACTAATGGATGAATTATAGAATCCCTACAGTGTGGAAACAGGCCCTTCGGCCCAATAAGTCCACACCGACCCTCGGAGCATCACGCCCCAGATCCATCCCCCATAACCCACCTAGTATACACGTCCCTGAACACTATGGTTAACTTAGCATGGCCAATCCACGTAGCCTGCACATCTTTGGACTATGGGAGGAAACCGGAGCACCCGGAGGAAACCCGCGCAGACACGGGGAGAACGTGCAAACTCCACACAGACAGTCATCCGAGGCTGGAATCGAACCTGGGTCCCTGGCGCTGTGAGGCAGCAGTGCTAACCACTGAGCCACCGTGCCACCCCTTGAACCTGATTCCCTGACCAGGAATCGAACCTGGGCCGTGGTGGTGAAAGCACCGAATCCTAACCATTAGGCCACCAGGGATGGTCCACATAGATGCCTTAACATCTTTTGAGCTCTACAATCTCTCCCTATCTAGATAATATGCTTGCTTATTCTTCCTGCCAAAATGGACAACTTCACGTTTTGTACTTCAATTGCTAGGTCTTTGTCTACTCTCTTAACCTATCCCTTCTTAGTTTCCAGATGTCTTCTTCACAACTTACTACAATAGTATCATCAGTAAATTTAGCAATCATACCTTTAAGGTTCTTCGTCCCTTCATCCAACTTATTTATATAAATTACAAAAAGTTAAGGCACCGGCAGTGATCCCTCTGGAACACCATTCATTGCATAATGCCAACCAGAAAATGACCCATTTATGCTTACTGTCTACTTCCTATTAACTAGCCAGTCATTTGTCTATGTAATATAATGCTCATTATATCACTCAACTTTATTCTTCATAACAAACTTTGTGACACCTTATCAAATGCCTTCTGGAAATCTAAGTAGTATATCTGCTCGTTCCACAACATTCATTACTTCTTCTGAGAACTGCAGTAAATTGGTCAAAATGATTCCCCCTTTCTTAAAATTATGTTGACTGTGCATGATTATCTTGGATTTATTCAAGCTCCCTATGGAAATGTTAGAAACTATTATCAAAGACAGATGTTAAGCTAACTGGCCTTTCCAACCTTGTGTCTCTGAATTTTTGAATAAAGGAGGTGCATTTACTATCTTCCAATCTAAATCCCTGAATCTAGGGAATTTTGGAAAATTAGAATTAACACATCAAGTACCTTACTAGCAACATTTTAAAAGGCTCTAGGATGACCATAAGATGGAGCAGAAGTAGGCCATTAAGCCCATTGAATCTGTTCTGCCATTTAATGAGATCATGTATGATCTGATCATCCTCCACTCCGCTTTCTTATCTTTTTTCCCGTAACTCTTGATTCCTTTT